TCATTTTCTCTGAATCACCTCTATGAAAGCCCCCTTTTCCTGCAGTTGGGCAGAATGACAGCCTTTGGGACAGGAGTCCCCTGTGTTTCTCCTTTGCTAGCAAAGCAATAAACCTTCTTTTTCCTTTGTCTCAAAACATGTCCTCGTTATTCGATTGGCATCTGGGACAAAGACCAAGCTTTCAACAACACTCTTAGCTGACAGAACAAGGAAATTGATGTATGCACTCACCTGTGTAGATACTTGTGTATGAACACAAAGATGCATTGATGTGTGGATAACACTAATGTCTGCACCAACACAGGGATCACTCTAGCCTCCTCCCTTTGCTTCTTTGTAAAGGAAACTGGGCTCCCACCATCAGCCACCATTTGCATTGTTGTAATGTCCACCAATTCCTTAACAATTATCTTTAAATCTTTATGTATCCTTTCACTCTTCTTCTGTGACCTTCTATAGCATACCCAAGTGGCAGGCGTCTGCCATCACAATGTCAGAATAGTTTCAATACCCTCAAATGTTTTTGTGGTCCCTAAGTTGAACACCATCTTCTCTGGTGACAACTGATCTGTATACTGTTTCTATGGTTTCATTCTGGAATGTCACATACATGCAATCATAAAATATGTAACTTTTCAGATTGGCTTATTTAACTTAGCATCATGAGTGGAAGGTTCATCCATTTCTCTGCACTTTCTTAGCTCTGTCCTCTTTACCACCAAGTAGTATTCCTCATCTGGATGTGCCACTTTATCTGCCAGCCACAGAAGGACATCCTTGGTCACTTCCAGTTTTTGCCAATTATTAGTAAAGCTGCTGTAAATATTTCCATGCTGTTTTTTTTTAATTTTTTTAAGAGAGAGAGAGAGAGAGAGAGAATTTTTAATATTTATTTTTTAGTTCTCGGCAGACACAACATCTTTGTTGGTATGTGGTGCTGAGGATCGAACCTGGGCCGCACGCATGCCAGGCGAGTGCGCTACCGCTTGAGCCACATCCCCAGCCCGTGCTGGTTTTTGTGTGCGCATAAGTTTTCAAATCTGTATGGTAAATGCCAGACTATCACTGCTGCATCATGTGGTAAGAATATGTTTAGCTTCATTAGGAACTGCCAACTGTCTTCCCCAGGGGCTACACCATTTTGTATTCCCATCAGTAATGAATAAGTGTTCCTGTTGCTTCACATTCTTGCTGGCATTAGGTATCGTCCGGTTTTTAAATTTCAGTCATTTTAATAGGGCAGGTACATAGTAGTATATTGTTGTAGTTACAGTTTGCAATTTCCTAATCAGGTATGTGTTGGTTTTTCATTGCTGTGACAAAATAGTTCAGAAAATCAACCTAGAGGAGAAAAGACTGATTTGGACTCATGGATTCAGAGGTTTTAGCCCATGGTTGGCTGGTTCTATTCTTTCTGGGCCTGAGGTAAATGGACACAATATCTTTCTTTTACTTTTATGTGGTGCTGAGGATCCAACCCAGTGCCTTCCACATGTGAGGCGAGTGCTCTACTACTGAGCCCCAACCTCAGCCCCATACAAGTTTCTATGACAGCAATTTCATACATTTATGGCTGAACTATTATTTTGCAGTACAGGGAACTGAAGCCGGAGGTACTCTTCCACATCCCTAGTCCTTTTTATGTTTGGAGACAGGGTCTCATTAAGTTGCTGAGGCTGGCTTTGAACTTATGATCTCCCTGCCTTAGCCTCCAGAATTGCTGGGATTACAGGAATGCACCAAGCACCTGGCCTTGTGCGGGCCTGCTTGCTGAGTCATGCATCACTTGGGTAAACTTTGATGCTAAGTATCTTCTTCTTTTTTTTTTTTTTTTTGGTGTTGATGGACCTTTATTTATTTATTTTTATGTGGTGCTGAGGATTGAACCCAGTGCCTCACACATGCTAGGCAAGTGCTCCACCACTGAGCCCCAGCCCCAGCCCACAAAGTATCTTTCCATATGTTTATTTGCGTTTTGTATTTTCTTCTTTCATGAGGTATCTTTCAGATGTTTTGCTCATATTTAAAATCCGGTTGTTTGTTTTCTTATTGTTGAGTTCAAAGAGTTCTTTGTACATTTTGGATAACCAGTCTTTTGTCAGATAATCACATTGCAAAGATTTTTTCCCCAGCCTATAATTTGGATACATGTGTTTAGTTTTGTTACAATGGGATTTATCCTTTTTCTTTCATGGGTCATGTTTTTCAAATTGTACTTAAGGAATCATCGACAAACCTGAAGTAACCTAGATTGTCTTCTATGTTTTCTTGTAGAAGTTTATAGTTTGGCATCTTACATTTGGGTTTATGACCCATTTTTGAGTTAAGTTTTGTCTAAACCTCCTGAAAGCATTTTGAAAAGCTGTTTATCCATCACACACATGCATGTTGAAATTGACATTTATAGTATTTCAACAATTGTGTAAACAGTTGCAAATAGTGTACTTTCTGTTCCATCATGAATACTGATGTAAAACAAACTTTTTTTTTTTTAGATGGATGCTTGTTATGCTGGCCAGCTGGCCTCAGACCCCTGGGCTCAAGTGATCCTCCTGCCTCATCCTCCCCACTGACTGGGATTACAGGTGCACGTCACCTCACCTTGCATGTGGAATCATTTTCTGTGTGTGTCTGATACTAGGGATGGAACCCAGGGGTGCTGAAACACTGAGCTACATCTCCAGTCCTTTTTAAATTTTGTTTGGAGACAGGGTCTCCCTAAGTTGCTGAGGCTGGCCTCAAACTCATGATCCCCCTGTGTCAGCCTCCTGAGTTACTGGGATGACAGGTGTACACAACTGTGCCTGGCTTGTGATATCATTTTTTATACAGGGTGTAAACCTGAAGACTCCATTGGCATAGTTGAGTAATTGGGAAAGGTCAGGGTCAGAAGCTGGTAGGAGCTTCTCAGATTTCTTTTTCTGTACTGGGATTGAACCAGAAAGTGCTCCATCACTGAGTTACACTCCCCTGACTGTCTTGTCTTATCTTGCCTTTGCTTTTCCCTCCCTCCCCCCTCCCTTCCTCTCTCCCTCTTTCTTTATCTCCTTCCCAGTTTGTTTGTTTCTTTTCTTTTCTTCCTTCCTCCCTCCCTCCCTCCCTCCCTTCCTTTCTTATACTGGGGATTGAACCCAGAGGCTTGATCTGAGCTACACCGCAGCCCTTTCTGTCTCTCTTTCTTTCCTCTTTTTTTTGTACCAGGGATTGAACCCAGAGGCACTTAACCCCTGAGCCACACCCCCAGCCCTTTTGCATTTAGAGACCTCACTGAGGTGCTTAGTGTCTTGCTTTGAACTCAGATCTTCCTGCCTCAGCATCCCAAGTCACTGGAATTACAGGTGTATGCCCCCACACCAGCTAGATTTCTCATTTTTTTCTACAAAATACATTTGGGAGGTGAAGTTTGGAAAGATGATGTTTTAAAAAACTTTTCCGGCTCTGAGGACACTGTTGAAGTCTTCGTGTTATGCTCTAAACCCATGGACTGCTCTTAAGACTGGATTAAGTAAACCACTCCTGGCCCCTGTGACTTGGCAGGGTCCTTGTGACACAGGCCACTGTACATGTGCTCTTGATACAACCAGGGCACCCATCCCCCATTCCTGGTGGGGCACAGATCCCAGTGAAGCCGGATTTACAGATAGGTAGTTAGTGTAGTTAGGTGAATCGGGTCTAATATTGAGTAAAGAAAATGGAGACCATGATTGAGAATGGAGTCCAGGAAACCAGGGCTGCACTTGGGGAAATTGAAATGTTACTGTCCCCAAGGCCCAGAACCCATCCTAAGGAACTGTTAAGGAAGTAGCTCCCAGTAAACAGGGAGGTGCTAATCAAAAACCACCCCAGGCCCTTCCTCCCCGGATTACTCCAACCTGCCTCATCAGCCCATGTATCCCCCACCTTTTGGGGCTTCCCGTCTGCATTCTATCACTGAAGATAAAGGGAAACAAAAGACACAAATGTGGGAAAACTAAAAGAAGACCTTAGCTGTAAAAAAGGGAAGACCTCACCCTTCCATGGATTCTGCCTTTAGGGTCCCCTTCTTCCTCCGGGGAGAAGTCTTTTCTGCTGTCCTTTAATAAAGCTTCCACCTTCCACTCTACACTTGTCTTGCGTGCTTCTCCGGTAAACAGTGGTAACACTGGGATTGGGGTGAGGATGGGGAGGTGTGGTGGTAATCTACTGATGAAGGGTGGACCCCCCACCTTTTGGTGAGGAAGAGTAGACAAAGAAGATGATTTTTGCAGTGATAGATTTTCTAAAGAGCCCGCAGAGTTCTGTTCCAGTTCTGGCAGGGTTGGGGGAGGGGAGGCCTTTTTAGGAGGCAAAGGAAGAACCTCCAGAGCAGACCTCAGGCCATTCAAGGGTTCATTCTTTGACTAGCAGTGACATGCCGGGGCCTGGAGAATTTCCAGCACCAGGGTGACATGATCTTAAAGAAGAGAATGCTCAGGCTGCTGGTTAAGAAAAGAAGGAGGGTGAAAGGTTAAGGGTGGAGGTAGAAAGAACCCAATGAGTGCTGATGGGGCTTCAGGCCAGGGCAGCAGAGTGGTGGTGGCAGGTCAGTAGGGAAGAAGCTCGTTATAGACCAAATGGCCTGGAGGGCCTGTCTGAGGAGAGGCCACAAAAGCAGAGACCGCAAAGCAGAGAGCCATGCCACTATGTGGGTGAAGAAATTTCTGGACAGAAGACACCGGTGGTGCAAAGGCCCTGTGGCCACCTATTCAGACCAGAGCCTCAGGATACTGGAGAGCATAACTGAGGAACAAGGATCAGGGCAGTGGCAGCAGTGGAGCCCAGGGGATTGCCTTACAAGGCGCCCTGCCGCGTTGCAGCCGGCTGTACTCATCCACCGAGTGCTTGGCTGGCAGCGGCCCGCGGGGGCGCGCAGAGGGGGCGGGGCCGGCGGGGCGCGGGCGGGGGGCTCGGCGCGGCGGCCACTGCGCGAGGTGACGCTGCTGCATCCGCTCCAGGTCCGCACCTGCCAGGTCCGTTCGGGCCAGGGGCACACAGGGTCCAGGCCCGCAGCCGCTGAAGACTCTAAAAACCCTCGCACACACCTGTCACGCCCGGCGCGCCCCCTGCCCGCACACGCGGCCCACGCAGCTCGGAACTCTGAGGGCCCACGCTTCGGAGTCCCCTTACTCCGTGGCACCAAGGGCTGAGTTGTAGCAACGCGGCCGCGTGGGTGGCCGTGGTCGTGACAGGTGGTTGTGAGCGGGGTCGCAGATGCATTCGGGTGGGTGGGTGGGTGGTCTGGGTGGCGCGTGCATGTGGGCGCTGTGTCTTGGTGGTAGGTCTGGTGGGGGAGGGGTCTGGGCCCTGTAGATGGAGGTGGGCTAGAGGGGCCAGAGTAGGGGTGCACAGAGCCTTCTAGAAAGCGGCTGCTCATGTAGGTTCCAATACGTGGAAGCAGAGAGGGGATGCCCAGGTGTTGGTTGCCTGGGGAGGTTGAGGTGGGGAAGCACTGGATGTCAGCAGCGGACCCGGGATGGGGAATTGTCCATGTGGGAGTAGGCGGGGGGAGGGGCAAGATGTACCTCGGCTGTGGGGTGGCCCTGACGGAGGTGGGGGCCGAGGGGGGGCGATGATGGATTGGCAGTGGGATGAAGGTGGCTATCTCCGAGGACACCGATGGCGGGAGGAGGGAGCTGCCATGCCCAGGGTCCTTCTCCACCTCCCACTGCAGACATGCTGCTGCTCAAGAAGCAGACGGAGGACATCAGCAGCGTCTATGACATCCGGGAGAAGCTTGGCTCGTGAGTGTGATGCAGTGTGAATATGTGTGTGGACATGCGTGTGCATGTGTGCGCGAACATGTGAGTGTGGGGAGGAGTATGTGGGGACATGTAAGCATGTGATACGGAATAGATGTGTGTGACTGTGTGGGTAAATTGTGACGCGTTTGCACATCTGAGTGTGTGAATATGTGTGCGTGTGTGCATAAGTGCCGGGGAGGGGGGTAAGGGCCTCCCCATCTCCCTCAGCCCTCTCCTTCCCCTCCCTTCCCCCTCATTGGTCTCCCACTGTCTGGCTCTGTGGCAGGGGTGCCTTCTCCGAGGTAGTGCTGGCCCAGGAGCGGGGCTCTGCACACCTTGTGGCCCTCAAGTGCATCCCCAAGAAGGCGCTGCGGGGCAAGGAAGCCCTGGTGGAGAATGAGATTGCGGTACTCCGCAGGTGCGCCCATGCCTGGCCTGGGACCTAGAAGTTAGTGGGGATGGTCAGAGTCCCTTGGTCTGGGACCCCTGCCGGTCTAGCCTGACCTTTGTTGCTAACCTGCTGGAGGGCCTGGGGCAGTTCTCTTTCCCTGCCTGGGCCTGAATGTCCCCAACAAGAAAGGGTCAATATTGATCTGTGCTTTTCAGACAGGATTTAGAATTGTGTATCCTAGGAAGGCCTGGGCTGAGGTAGGCCAGGGTGGTCGGTGGTTAGGAATGGGGAGTCCATGCGGGAGCAAGAGAGGAAGAAGGTGGCTCAGGACAAAGCTCTCCCAGACCCTGCTGTGCTCCCCAAGGAGGCTGCTGCAGCCTGGACTTGTGCTTTCCTACAAGGGCTACTTTTTCCTGTTCCAGGGTCAGCCACCCGAACATTGTGGCGCTGGAGGATGTCCACGAGAGCCCTTCCCACCTGTATCTCGCTATGGAGCTGTGAGGAGGGCCAGTGGGGGCTGGATAGGCATGGGGGCTGAAGCTTGGGCTCAGGGGCCTGGGTTGGCTGAACTCCGGACTCCCCTCAGGGTGACGGGTGGCGAGTTGTTTGACCGCATCATGGAGCGAGGCTCCTACACGGAGAAGGATGCCAGCCACCTGGTGGCTCAGGTCCTCGGCGCTGTTTCCTACCTGCACAGCCTGGGCATTGTGCACCGGGACCTCAAGGTGCCTGGCTGGGAGCCCTCACACCTTGCCCACCTGGCCCTTCGTGTGTTTCCCCAGGCGCATGACTGGGGCCTTTCCCAGCATCCCTCTCCACTGAGGGTCTGGGGAATTTGAGAGTGCTGAGGCCCACCCTGTTCCAGTGCCGGTGCCATGCCGAGCCTGACCTGGCCCCCATGTGTCACAGCCTGAAAACCTCCTCTATGCCACGCCCTTTGAGGACTCCAAGATCATGGTCTCTGACTTTGGCCTCTCCAAAATCCAGGCTGGCAACATGTTAGGCACTGCTTGTGGAACCCCGGGATATGTTGGTAAGAGGGGGGAAACTCTGGGCCTCGCTGGCTGGTAGGAGGGGGCGGGGACCCTGGGGGAGCCAAGGTGCTAGGATCTGGGGTGACTGTTGCTGCAGCTGGGTTATTCCTGGGGCTGAATCACACATGCATGTTGTGTGCATGCACACTAGAATGTGTCTGTTTGTGACCTCCAGCTCCAGAGCTTTTGGAGCAGAAACCGTATGGGAAAGCTGTAGATGTGTGGGCCCTGGGTGTCATCTCCTACATCTTGTGAGTGACCAGTGGGAAGCCTCAACTCCTGCCTGCCTGCCCCCTGCTGGGTTGGGGAGGGGAAAACAGCTGGGTGATTCATCTGTGGGTGCCAGGCTGTGTGGGTACCCGCCCTTCTACGACGAGAGCGACCCTGAACTCTTCAGCCAGATACTGAGAGCCAGCTACGAGTTTGACTCTCCCTTTTGGGATGACATCTCGGAATCAGGTGAGCTTGATGCTGACCTTCTGCTTGGTACTGACCAGGGGTAGTAGGGACTGGGCAGGCTGACCTGGTCCCCCCTGCTCCAGCCAAAGACTTCATCCGGCACCTTCTGGAGCGAGATCCCCAGAAGAGGTTCACCTGCCAGCAGGCCTTACAGCATCTTTGGTGAGTGGGACCCCTGGCAAGTTGTCCCAGGCCAGAGAGACAATCTTCCATACATCACTGACCTCAGGCTTCCTTCAGGATCTCTGGGGATGCGGCTTTGGACAAGGATATCCTGGGCTCAGTCAGTGAGCAGATTCAAAAGAATTTTGCCCGAACCCACTGGAAGGTCAGCACTATTTTCCTGCTTCAGGGCATAGCCTCCACTGCCTACAGGTCACTATAGTCCTTGCAGTCTTGGGGCTGGGGCCCAGGCATGGCCTGACACACACCACCCACACTTCTTCCCACAGAGAGCTTTCAATGCTACCTCCTTCCTGCGCCATATCCGGAAGCTGGGGCAGAGTCCAGAGGGGGAGGAGGCCTCCAGGCAGAGTATGGCCCGACACAGCCACCCAGGCCTCCCAACTGGCCAGCCCCCCCAGTGGTGATGCCCAGGTGTGTGTGCCTTTCATCCCCAGAGCTTATAGGCTGGTGGTGTTCTATTTGGCCAAGAGCTAAGGGGGTGGGCCCTATAGAGTTTGCGTGGCCCTTCCTGTGCCCATTCTGCATGGCCTAGGGCTCCACGGTCCTGCCTCACTGGTCCCCAGTCTCTCCTGGTCCCTCTCAGCCTTCCTCCTGGATTCATCAGGGAAAGACCCCCAGGACCACTCCTTGGCTCCTGAGGGCTGAGGGCACACAGTGCAGGAGGAGGAGATGGGTAGGGGCACAGGGAGGCCAGTCTGGCTCCTGACTGCCCCCTTCCTCTGCCTCTCTCTCCTCCCTTCCATTCCAGGCAGATGCTGAGGCCAAGTGGACAGACCCTGATTTCCTTCCTTTGAGTCCTTTCAGTCCCCTTCCCCCACCCCTTATGCCCCTGGCTGGTCTCTGCTGGAGTGTGTGAGTCGTGCACGTGGCGCATGGCTGGGGCAGGGATGGGGCACTCCTTGTCACTGCCTCCAGAAGCCTGGGAGGTGTTGGCAGGTGGGCTCCAGGGGCCGTCCTTCCTGCACTGTTCTGTGCTTTGCTGACTGTGGGTGGTTCTGCTTGTGTTGTGGCCCTCCAGCCCCCTTGTTTTCTCCAAACCAATAAAGACAGACAGAGCAATGGGCCAGTGGTGAGCTGGGGGCGGACATGTGTGGGGTTGGGGATCACCTGGGGGAAGGGAATGAAGAAGGAAGAATGGACCCCATTGCTGCCTGAATCCCTGCTCTCTGGGATCATGGCAGACAAGGTCCCAATCACCCAAGAATTTCCTGTTCCTACCCTCTAAGTACCAGCAAGAGGCCACCTGGCAGCCAGCTCTGCTACCCTACAGATCTGACTGCCTGGGACCCTCGGTCTCTGGGCAGCAGCAGAGGCACGCTGGGCTGCCAGCAGGGGGCAATGGCGGGAAGCCAAATCCCTATCCCCAATGCAAAGAACAGCACTGTCTCTGGGCCTCTAGTGCAGGGCTGCAGTGTCCATGCCCTGCATATGCCGGGCCTTCTCCCACCTCTTCCTACCTCCTTCCCCTTCCAGTGGGCAGCTTGTGTGAAATCCTAGGAACCTCAGTGTCAGAGGATGAAAAGGAGCCCCTCAACCAGGAGAGGGTACCACAGGGGCCTCTACCCCCTGTACTGTGCTGGGGCTTTGGAACTATGGGCATCACGCCCGAGCGGACCCAGGCTAGCAGCTGGAACACAAGGAGCTGTGACGGATGGCATGAAGAACTGTGGTCTTTGTTCTGGTGTAGCAGCTCCCAGGTCTTCCATCGCCACCTATGATGGATCAGGGCTTCAATGGCTGGCCTTGCTGGTTCCATCAGGGAAGACCCCCAGGGCTACTCCTTGGCCTCAGCCAGAATTCCAGGCTAGCAGGCCACCCCTTCCCCTCGGAAAATCCTTCCCCTGAGCCCCCAGGGGATGAGCTAAATGGCCAGGGTGCAAGTTAAAGAAGATTCCTCTCCTTTTCAAAGTTTGGGATCAAAAGGAGGCCATGAGGCCCAATCCGAGGCTGGACTGGTCTTGGATATGATGGGGTTTGGCGTTGTTTCCAGGAAGGAGAGCAGTCATGGCACCTGTGCTCTGGGTATACGGTAGTGCAGACAGCTGCTCTTCTGTCCCAACATTCTGCCATCCTCTCCCAAGACCAGGGGGAATTCTGGAAGCTGGTGGGCAGCTCCTCCCTCCTCACATCTACCCACCTGCCATCCTACACTTCAGGCTTTGAGTCACACAACTCAGAGGGGGAACCTCAGCTAACCAGTATCACAGCCAGGTCTCAGCACCTTGGCCTCCTTTCCTCCAAAGGCCTCTCCTGCCACCCCTCTGCCCCTACCTGGGGCCTTGTCATTATTTGGACATCTTTACCAGCATCTTGCTGGCTGGCTTGCTGTGTTTCCCATCTTATCACTCACTCATACAGGACACTTATTTGTTCTCCTTTGGCTTGCAAAGTATTGGTTGGGCCTGTACTGTATGCCAGATGCTGGAAATGCGGTGGGCTCCTCAGACTAGTGCAGGGGATAGTTTTACTGGGATGCTAAGAATGATCTGTGTGGGGAAAGCACCATGCTTGCCGCTCCAGGAGCCCTGAGCATGAGTAGTAGAGCCAACTTTCCAGAAAGAATAAACGCTCTTTCAGAGTGGCCAGCTCTTCCAAGTCAGGCGTGGCGCCAGATCCCTTCTGCAGAGTTGGGACCCAGCCCAGCAGCCCTGTCATATGGTGCAATTTGGCCTCCTGACAGCAGGGGGCGCCACGGTTACGTCTTTAGACATCCATTAGCCACCTCTGGTTCCTTCAGTACCTGGAGCAGTGGCTCAAATCTGTATTCCCCTCCACATCTCCCAAAATCCTGCCCTGGAGAAGTCCTCATTCAACAAAGAGGTCCTGTCAATCTGGGGGCGGGGTGAGAGGGGAGACTCCTAAGTTAGGTAGAGTGGCACCCCTACTTCATCTCTCCCAGACTTTCTCATCTGAGTCCAGTTCTGGAGAGGAAAGTTTTGGGTCACTTGGGCAGAAGGAGAGAGGAAGGGCTCCTTTACTAGAAGGCAAAGGGTGGTGTGAGGTAGGTGGAGAGGGAGCTGGGTGGGGGTACTGGGGAACATTCCAGCTTGTGTCTGGAGGAAAGGGCCCTAGCAATCCTGGCAAGGTAAGGGGTTCAGGCCTTAGTCTATGAGCATGGGGAGCTATTGAAGGGGTTTGGACCAAAGCATGCCTTTGTCCAGTTTGGGAGAAGCTTGAACTGGCTGTAAAGCTCAGGTGCTGTGAAGCTGGGGGAGTGCAGCCCCTCAGAGCAGGTTGATCTTCCCGGGTGTCAGCAGATCTGAGCAGAATTGAGCAGGGGAACCCTTGTGGAGGATACAAGAAGAAACTGTCTCCCCAGATCTGGGCCAAACAGGATAGATGACATGCTGTGTCTTGGAGAAAACGTGTGGGTGGCAGAGGTTTCAAGGAGGCTCAACCTGTACAGTGTCATTGGGGACAGGGAGACCCAGAGGTTATCCTAGAAGTTCTTTAGGAATTGATGGTGGATTTGGGGTGGGGAATGAAGGAGGTAGGGTGAATAGCCTATGTGTCTCTAGGTGGACATGGAACCATTCATAAAGAAGGGTTCAACTGGGGTGCCTTTGGGGGAGACATAATGACATTGGATTGGGATATGGTGAGTTTGAGGGGCCTGAGGGACATAAAAGTAGAGAAAAATTGACTTATTCCTCATACTTCTCTTTGCAAATATGTGTCTAGCTTTATACTTACTATTTTTAAGAAATATTTATTTCTTAGTTGTAGTTGGACACAATGCATTTATTTTATTTTGTTTATTTTTATGTGGTGGTGAGGATCAAACCCAGGGACTTGCACATGCTAGGTGAGTGCTCTACCACTGAGCCACAACCCCCAACCCCTATACTTATTATTAATGAAGGTTTCTTCTTTCTAATTGTTTACTTTTTTTTTTTTTGGTAGTGTTGGGGATTGAACCTAGGGCTTTGTGCGTGCAAGGCAAGCACTCTACCAACTCAGCTATATCCCCAGCCCCTCGGAATCTTTCTTCTTTCTAATAAAAAGGATGCTAATGCTGACTCTTGATTGCACACTTAGTCTGTGCCAGAGACTGTTCTGGAGACCTTCACATATATTGACTCGAATCTCACATGTGAATGAGGTAGCTGACATTGTTATCATCTCCCCTACTTTCCATTTGGGGAAACTGAGGCCAAGTAACTGAGCCAAAGCTATGTCACTTGTAACAGTGAGCATTGAACTCACACTCTCTTACTACGTCTTCCTACTTGCCTCCATGTAAGTGATGTCTTGCTTGGGTCTTAATGATGGGGAATTGAGGTAAGCAAGAGCACTTCTTTCCACCCATCTTTTCGTGAATGCTAAGAGTGTGCTAAGGGAGAGAGAACTCTGGGATGGGAAAACCCACTGTGGATTTCATTTTGGTCCTTGCAGGTGGCTAGTGTTGTCTTTACTGTTCTCTGTGCCTCAGTTGCAGATCTCACTTGATGGCAACCAGGCAGGTTTTCCCCGCAGTGGCAGGGATGGGATGTGGGATCTGGGCCGTCTGAAGTTCTCTTTGGAGTTCAGTATGGGGTGTGGTCCAGAAGTGGAGCAGGGTTGGTGACTAGGAGACACATCTGGGTCTGTGAAAGAAACAAGGCAAGAGATGTAGAGGGCCTTTGCCAAAGCAGCTGAAGTGGGACTGACACTGGAAGGATGGAGCTCAGTTGAAGTGGGTTGACCACGGGCAGGCCCGGTGGTTTGTGAAGGAGAACACAGGAGAGAGGCTGAAGACAAAGGGGCCAAGCCATGTCAGGTGCTGACTGACTTGGCTCCATAAACTGTGCATTCCTTCCGGCCAGACACTGTTTAGGTGCATGACAATCATTCTCCACCCAACCCCAGCTTCCTCCAGGCATTCCTGTCTCCATCCCTAACCACAGGTGGGCAAGATAAAAAGTACTGGGTGTTCAAGAAATAACAAACTAATTTGGTTGATTGAGGAGACTTGTGAGAGGAAGTGGCTAGGGAACAGCTTGGGAAGTGAACTTTCTGAAGAGGACACTAGGGAGCCACTGAAGGTTTAAGCAGGACAGTGACAAGATGCGAGTTTTGTCTTAAAGATGTTTTCCCAACATTTTCCAATCCTATCTGGTCCTTCTTGATAATCATGAAAACCTTACGTCCATTCCTCCAGTTCTTTCCCCTCACACCTCACTGAGATTTGATAGATCTTCGAGCCCCAGGGAGCCAAGTCTTGCCTCACATGATGCTCTGAGTAGGTCCCAACTTCTTTATGCCAATTTCTTCTTGTAGTTGTTTCATTTATTGCTTACTGAATTTTTGAAGTTATGTTATTAAGTGCATATGAATTCACATTTGCTATATATTTCAAGTAAGTTAATGAAGAATACAAGCTAACACGTGTATTAGTTTCAGCATTGCTTTTTGCCTTTGTTATAATTTACTTTATCTGATATTAATATAGCAGCTATACCTTTTTATTTATATTAGCCTGCTATGTCTTTTTTAATCCTTTACTTTTCAAGCTTAAAATTTGTCTTCTTTTTAAAAAATATTTTTTAGTTGTCAATGGATTTTTATCTATCTATCTATCTATCTATCTATCTATCTATTTATATATGGTGGTGAGAATCAAACCCAGATTCTCACACATGCTAGGCAAGTGCTCTACCACTGAGCTACAACCCAGCCCTAAAATTTGTTTTCTTATTAATATATAATTCATATACTACAAATTTCACCCTTTAAAATATATAATTTAATGAATTTTAGTATATTTAAAAAGTTTCATAACCAACCCTATGATATAATTCCAGAAACTTTTCATTATCCCAAATGGAAATCCCATTACCCCATAACTCTTCCCTCAGCCTCTGACAACCACTAATCTATTTTCTGTCTTTGTGGATTTGTTTATTCTAATATTTCAAATAAATGTAATCATACCATATGGGAACTTTTGTGTTTGACCTCTTACCCTTAGCTTATGTTTTTAGGGTTCATCACATTGTAGCATCTATGGTAAATGTACCAATTATTCCTTTTTGCAGATGAATAGTATTCCATGGTATTGATAGGCTACATATTATCTATCCA